CAGTAACCAATTAATTACTCTTACTAGTCAGTTTACTTAAACAGCAACATATTTTCTTCCCATTTCACTCACTGCAGACTTCTGTAAAGTGTCTGTGGAGTTTAGAGAAAAAAAAAAAAAGCCATTTAGAATGTTTTTGTAAGTATGCCCTTTGCAAATAGCAGCGGTTTTCAAAGGAGTAATTGAAGTGTGGCTTAATCCTTGTTAGATGAGCGATATTCATGTCTGGAACAGAGGCTTGCTTTTTGGTTTCGTTTCTTGGTTTTTTTGATATATCATCATCAAAATGCCAGTAAAAAGGGTTAAAAGTGATTTTACTACTTGTGAGTATTTAACATCGTACCAGGTATTCTCTTGATTTCTAGCAAGATTGAGAATTTTCTTACACATTTGCTGATCCTAAATTTTTGCTTTTAATAGGGAAATATGAGCATGTAGCAGCATTAGCATGTTTTATCCTTTAACCCCACTGAAAAATCTCTTGTGGCTTCTTGTTTTGTTCTTTGTTTCTTGAAATATGCTTTTGTTTTTCCTTTCGAAGAGGAGTCCAACTGCTAACAAATTTTGGGCTGTGACCTAACAGGGTGAAACTTGGGGTGCCCGAATCTCCCCTCTGTCCTCATAACCCGTTGATGGTGAAACACAAAGTAACGAGTGAATTAGATAAAATTGCAGCTCTGAGTCCTGGTAAGCTTCCCAAAAGTGCTTTGGTGGGAGCACTCCAACCTAAAATTTAGGGATGCTCTTCTAATCTTGGGAGCATGCTTTATCTTGGCGTTCAGTTGTGGTGACTTAAAGAGCTCACAGGTGGCTGAGTGGTGACTCCAGACCCCCTGAGCCCCCCCCCGCTGCCTGCCATCTTCATCACTAATCTGTAGTCTCCACCCAGGGCTGCAGGCACTCAGGGAGTTGTTGAGTGTCAGAGTTTATTCGTCCTGTTTTGATTAGCAGAGACCTGGCAGGGCGTACTTTCTTTTTAATGGCTCCTTGCTGTGACAGGGAGGTTTCTGGCAGAGGAGAGGGGAGCCTGGCATCATGTTTCCCCAGGCTCATACAGCAAAATGAAGGTCTGATGACGGGAGGCAGGTAGTTGGTCGGCCCCAGAATCTTCATTATATTTTGTGTGCAAATACGAGCCTGCCCCTAAACGGGATTGCTCAGAGCCGGGGCGGGGGGGGGCTGTTAGTAGGAAATACAGATGCCGTTTTATTTTCCTGCGGACTTTAGTTTGAGGAAAGAAAGGATGCCGCGTGTTTCTAGCCCGTTGGCTGTAAAACTGCCAGCTGCTGACAGGCTACCCCAACACAAACAAGGATGCAGGGAGGAATGCGCTTCTGGCCACCTACGGCTGCTCCCAGCCAGCCAGCGCTGGAGGCTCACTTAATGAGTGCCTGACGGCCGCATCCGGGGACAGTTTTCCCGTCTCTCCCTCCCTTTCCTCATTAATTCACCCACAATAGGATGGAGGGTTGCGTTAGAGCCCCCTTACCTCTGGCAGGGAGAGGCAGTCTTGGAGGGACGCCTCCAGGTGCTGAGGTTTGGGGAGGGGGTAGGCTGGCGTAAACCCTGCTGTGCATCCCCTGCCCCCTGGCTGCCCTCCCCGGCCCTCCCGGCCCACCGCCCCCCTCGCGTCCGCCGCAGCCTCCTTTGTGCCTCCCGCATCCTGCCAGGCAGGTGTCAGAGCCCTGAATGCGGGCAAAGGCCCTGCTGATGGATACCACAGATGGAGCGTGGAAATCGGTCGAATAGGCCTCAGCCACAGGCCATTTCTTAGGACCCAACAAAAGCCTCCAAATAAGTCAACAAAAATCCCAAAGATCACAAAGAGAAAGTGTCATTTGTCATTTACTGTGGGTTTGTGTGGGGGTAGCAGCCCTGCTGCACTCTTCCTCGCCTGCACCCGAGTAAACACGAGGGAGGTCACTCGCATCTCTCAGGGCGTGAAAGGCTGCCGGGGATCAGACGGCCATCAGCAGCCCCGCGGTACCCGCGGCCTCCTGGTGCACGACACCCCGGTGAGCCCCGACGCGGGGGACGCCCCGGCCGCAGCCTTAAGTAATAGAGACGTGGCACGAGGGGGAGAGCCTCTGAAATTAATCTTGCATGAATAAAGAAATGGGAAGATCTGGGGAGGGTAGCTAGAAAATAAACCGCCACCAGAACTCTCCCTGGCCTTCGGGATATTGGGGTTTTTTTTGTATTATTTCAGTGAGATCCATGGCTAGGCGGAATTTATCTAGGGCAGACCCCAGGCTGTTATGCTCAGGGGAAGAGGCTGTGTAATAGTTTATTAAAAAAATTTCACGGTGACTGAAGGATTGCCAGAGAAGTTGTGCCTTCACAGGTTGCAGAAAGATCACCTCTCTGCCTGCGTTTGTCAGGTGCGCTGTGCTGCAGCTGTGATCTATGGGTTTTAAATGGTTGTCATGTTTTTGCTATTTAATTATTCAAATGAAATGTCTTGCTGAGAGGAAGAACAACCCACAGAATGACCTCTTGTGTGTTACTTTGTTGTTCTTTTTGCCCTGATGGGTCTGTCTATGGTGTTTGGAAAAGGGGTGGTTGCAGAGCTCCAGGTGACCGAGTGCCTGTGACACTGGGTAGAAGCTTTTTGCATATCGTGGTGATAGCTGCGGTGATAACCAGCATGCAGCGTTTCCTCAGGTCACCAGGCAGGTCACGAGGGGTTAAGGGATAAATAATTGCTCTTTAATTCTGTAATTCCTTCTTTAATTAAACTTCCTGGCTCAGCTGCTGGTATTGCTTTTGGCTGCTTCTCCCATCTTGAGCTGCGCAGCAGGGGGGAAGCGGTGATCCCGAGGGGTCTGACCGGGATCTCCCAGGACGCTGCTGAGTCTCCTTCTTTCTCCTATTTATAGCTCGAGGGGTTGGAGTATTAAGGTCATTAGGACAACTGTAAAGGTTAGCAATATGCATGTTGTGTGTCTGTGAAGGTGATGAAGGTAGAAATAACCCAGCTAAAATCTGATCACCTTTACCTGTGCTGAATACATGGAAGTCAGTGGATCTAATAGTGAGATATTGCTTAGCAGAAGGGCAATATGCTATGGCTATTGAGCACATATAAAATAAATACTGCTTTTTTTAAAGGCTGAAGTGTGTCCAATTTACATGCTTAGCCAATACTCTGGCTTCTCACCTATATAAAAGTCTAATAATGGTATTTTAGTAGAGAAAAAAAGAATAAAAACTTCATGGAAACCAATAATATTTAAGAAGACTTTGTAAGGAATAAAAATAATGCAGTTTGTAGCACAGACATGTAGCTATCATTTGAGATTACATTTGTCTGATTTTAATATTGCAGATCAGACAAGACAAAGGAACTCAAATATTTTCAGTAAAGCTGCACATAGCAGCCAGGCCTGGCAAAGGGTAACACCAATGAAATGAGATGTGAAAGCCATTTCATTTGGTTTATGTTGTCTTCCTACTTTAGTTTTATTACTTTCTCGCTAAATGTTTGCACTTGATTAGGTATATTATCCTGGATTCTTAGATACTTTGTTCATTTTTTTCTGACTGGTTTACTTTGTAAAAGGCACTTTGTGCCTTTCATATACTGCCTAATGAAATGTAAAGCTAAAATTAAATTAAGTCAGTGTTTCAGTTCTGCATTCTCATTGCTGCATGAATACGAGGGGCAGGGAAGCATCACAAGATTTTTGCTAAGTTTTTATAAGACTTTTTTTAGAAAGATCATTATAGGTCTCCTGATAACTCGATCCAGTTGGTGAGGGAATTCGGGTCAAATTTAGCAATAAAGATCCACTTTAAATTGCACGGTTTAAGCTGGCTTTTTATAGGCATAGATATAGATGTTTCCAGAAGTCCCATACATATGTGTAGAGTCCGAAAGAGCATTGAAGGAGTTCCTGAGATCTGGGGATTTCTTTTTTTTAAACTCATTGTACACAATCAAAGGCAACTTTTGTCAGAAGTTCTCTCCAACAGGGACCTTCCTGAGCTCTGTTTCAGGTCTTACTCCATCAGCTATGGTCAGAGTGCAGTGCTAGCCAATATAACCCTGTTAGCGTGGCTGGTGTGCTCTCCTCCACTCGTCTAGCTTGTCAGCAATAGCTGTTCTACTTAAGGTGGGTGGCTGTTTATGAGGTTAACATAGGAAAAATACTTAAAAAGAAAATACTATATATTTCTTTTCATTCTTGAACAGCAGCATGAAACTATCCTGGAGGGTTGTAACTTGGCAGTTGCTGAGGAGGGCAGGTGTCACTTGGGACCCCAACTAAGATGATTTGGGATTTGTCACTAGTTCGTACAACATGTTATGTTCATTTTGGGATACCCTAGATTGCCTGTATGATAAGGAATGAACTTGAATTGTTTGGGATAGGATGTTTGTGCTGATTCCCCTTTGTTCTTGGGGACAATATTCTCAAGAACCAGAACAGTTTAATCCAGTCTTACTTGGGGCAAAGCTTCCATGCAAGTAAGAGACCGAGTCAGATGTTTTCACAGTGCATTGATGCTGAGCTCTGTGGGAGTTTCTCCTGATGCCCTGGGTATGTTGGATCCAAAATATTGATGGTGTCTGGACAATGAAGATAGCTTTCACATAAAGGCCTCTGGTCTAACAGTAATTGTTCTTTTTTTGGTATGCAGAAATTCATAAACTCTTCAGCTGAATTGTCTGAGAAAGCACTTTGTCTTACTCATGCTGTAAGACTAGGTAAACAGATTAGGTGTATTTATTACCTCAAACAGCTTGAGTGAAATTGGAAATGTAAGATAGCTAGAAATGAACATGGTAGGGGGTTTTAGCTGGAGCTTGAGAAACAGTGATTTCTTTCTGGCTTCGTGTCCTCAGTTACTTCCAAATAAATCATGTTAAGAAGATTATTTTAAATCGATATCTATACCAATAATTTATTTGGCATTATTGAAGTAGCAGCAACAGTGCTTGTATTTCAATTGAACAAGCAGTTTCAGCATCACTGGGGAGTGTCTGCCCTCTTTAGGTGGTTTCCCTTGAAGACTCGGGAAGAGGGAATGCTTGGCGCCTGGAACAGCTGCTGATGCAAGTGAAGATTGGCTTTGGAAGTCTACTCTTTGGGTTCATTATTGTTTGCTGGAGAATGTGGTCAGGTACTGGAAGAGGCTTTGCTGCCTTCACAGCTATAGCTATGGGTTCAGCCGCAGCTGGGCTGTAGCTGGAGTTCACTTGATTGCCAGGGAGCACAGGGGAAACAAGCAGCGATGCCATGAGCTGGCTGGCTCTATGTGTGCGTGATCTCGCTCTTTCCATGTCTGTGAAACCCAGTGAGAGTTTCTGTTCTGATTTCTCTTCAAACTGCTGATCGCAAGAGTTGGTAGCCTCTTCCTGGGTCACGGACGTGCTGTACGTGGTCTGTTTCTTGCCGACTTTCCTTAAGCACTAATCGGAGTGTGGTGAGGGGGGCCTTTGGTCCAACGCAGCTTGGCTGTTTTGCAGTCACATCCTGGACTGTTGCCTGGAGCCTGAGCATCAGCACATCTGTGTGTAGCTGTACTCTGTGCTGGCAAACCTCCCAAGGTTAGGAGGAATAATGATGAAACCTTAGGGGAAGGAAGCATGTATGTAGTCTGTATGTATCAACTCTGGTCATCACATATGCTGGAATCTCCTTGCTTTAGTAACTGGAAGAGTCAAGTCAAACTATTGGTCTAAGCTATTCTTACAGTACTTCTCTCTGCAATGTGCATCTCAAATTTTATTTTATTTTTAATATTAACACTTGTCTGGTCTGTCCTGAGGTTATGTTAGGTGGTCCTAAGACAGGCAAGTAAGCTGCAAATGAGTGGGAATGTTTAAATGTGCTGAGATATACTAACACAAATGTGTAAAATACTGTTCAGAGCGTAGGACAAATAATACATGACATGAAGTAAATATTCAATTGTGTATGAGAATTAATTTCTTCATTAGTGCTCCCCATACCTTTGTAATCAGTTCCATAACCATTTCAGCAATAAGGCTTAATTGAGAAATCTATAGGGAAGGGCTCACGGACAGGTGTCTATAAAGTCAGAATGTTTAAGTTACAACATGCACGCTGGTGTGATGAATATTTGTATCTGTTCACTAGTTCAGGGAAAGGAACCAAGGCCATTTTGTTTGTCTGATCACTTGGGACTAAGCAGTACTGCTCGAGTTTTTAAAACACTTGGAAGCTGCTGGAGGAGTTAAATCTAGCAATTTACCGAAAAAGATTTCTAGAGGTTCTTAAATATTCTTGGGCCAGGAAATGGCGCCAAACTCATAGTTGAACTTTTGTGAATTCTTTATTTGTTTGAGCATATTCACATAATGTAACATTTAACTCTGATTTGTTTCTTGCTTTTTTTGAAGTTTTCCAACTGAGTTCTGAGTCATGGGGAAAAAGCAGCTTTTCCATACAAGAGAATATCATTGATCCAATATTTTGCTTTTTTTTCCCCTCAACTAAAGCTAATTTTAGCTTTCTTTTTTTTTTTTTTCTTTTTTGAGCATCAGCACCCCAGTCTGATGAAGGCTCTGACATTGATTCGGAACCAGATTTACCTTTAAAAAGAAAGCAGCGTCGTAGCAGGACAACCTTCACGGCAGAGCAACTGGAAGAGCTGGAAAGAGCTTTCGAGAGGACGCACTACCCTGATATTTATACTAGGGAAGAACTTGCGCAAAGAGCCAAACTCACAGAGGCTCGTGTCCAGGTATGTATTTAAAAGCTGCCTAAAAAAAGGGAATTTCCTTTTCTGTTACCATGTTGGTCCTTTTATATTCTTATGTGATCCTACTCTGGGGTAGAAGGAAAATGTGAAGCTACGTTGTTTACAACCTGAGGGGGTTTTGCATCTGTGCATGGACATTGGTTTTCCAGCTGTTTAAGATAACTGCTTTGAAAAAAAAAATAAAAAATTTGTGTTTTCCCCAGTAATTGTTCCATACCTACCATGAATATAATACTGAGCCTTTGGAGAAGAAGGTCTATTATCCCAGTTTGTTTGTTTTATGCATTTGACAGTACTCTGCATGTAATCAGGTCAGCTGTTGTGCCAGTTGAAAGTTATTTAACTGATTTCATCTGTTGTTGTTTGGGTCTTTCAGGCATTAACAGAGGAGAGAAAAACATTTTAAAAAGGACAATGTGTCTATAGAGTCATGCAAGTGAGCAAGGTTACTAGTGCAGTATCTACAGTTTACTTTCAGGTTAGCTTTTGAAGTTGACTTGATTTAAACCTTGTAATATCTCTCTTATCCCTATTGTCAGTTTAATTCAAAAGAAAATAAACTCTCAAATAACTGTTAGGTCTTCACAACTTCATGTAGACCTGGATTGTCTGAACAAGCTAATGTGCCAGAGCAATAAACTGTGAAGTTGATTTAAATTTAAAAAAAAGCATGAACCTGGATTTTCATATGTCCAAAACCGGGCAAATAGTGGCCAAAAAATTCTGGAATAAACTGCATCCCGGGTTTCAGGTTCAGACTAGAATTTCCTCTGTTTCACAGCAAAGCAGCACGTCCTGTGAAATGTTTAATGCCACAGGCAGAATTGTCTGCTGCTCTTTTACTATTTGATATCTGAGACATTTGGAAAAGCACGCCCTGTTTAAATCAGCCTGAGTTGCAAGTGTTCATAAGCAAATATGTGGTTGGGTGACAAGCAAAATATTGTAGCTTGTCATCTAACCAAGGAAGAGAAATGAGTGGTAACTTGTGTTCTGACCAAGGATACAGGTGAATTTGGTTGCTTTGGTGAAACTCTGTGTGTTTTGACCTTTGAAGCTCAGCGTGAGGCATTCAGACTCTGCAAACTGAAATAAGCAGTACAAAACATCCCTCTGACTTCAGGCAAGTGTGCCTATTGCAGCATGGCTGCATTATTGAGTGTCTGTCTTGAAAGGTCCAGACTTTTTCAGTTTTACCTGCTAAATGTTTTTGCAGAAGACTTCAGACCACATTTCTTGCAAGTGTTTGTTATGATTGTGAGAGAAAATCAGATGTATGGATGAATTTGTCTGGAAGGCAAACTCAGTGGTGCATGACTCTTTCCTTAATATGTTTACTAAGTGAAATGCTTGCAAAAGAGCTACATATATAGACTTGGGCCAGGTAAGACTGAATCAAGCCCTGGGAATCATCCACGCACAAACATAATAAAGATAACTTCCTACACAAGTTCTGTTAGCAAGACGAATGGGATCTAGGATATGATGTTTTGGGCTATGTTAGCTTCAGTGGAAAAAATACGATAAAATGAAAAAGACCCTGTTCGTGTTTTTCTAAATCAATGACCCACAGCTAGAAGAAAAGCAGAACTCTCATTAACATAACAGCTGTCTTAATGTGGCTTTAACCCTGTGACTTTTTACATTCCTTATGGCTTCCTTGGTTCCCTTGAGACGCATCCTGTCTCACACCACTCCTATGATCTACAGCCTCATGAATTCCCCAGTACCTCTGACATATGGATATTTTACCTAACCCAGCATGGAAGAAAGTTCCCAGTCAATCAATGATTAAAATACCAGAACAAAACCTTTCGGGATTAAAGATGAGCTGGGGTTGAAGTAGCCAGCCTGTGGGCAGTTTCCTAGTGCACTCCATCTGTCTGGTACCCTTGAAGGCTGGCAGAGTGATTTAGCCGTGGATTAAGGGATACAGGATTTGCCTTATCAGCATTCAGCACCTCTCTACAGCCCCTTAAAATAGCCACCTATGATGGGCATGTAATAAAAGACAACCTGTGAAAAGAAAATAACCCTAAGAGACTTGAGGCTGAGAAGACTGGATAGCCATACTGATGTAGCATTCAAGCTTTCTTAGTCACACTTCTTTTTTGGTAACAGTATGACAGAGATCAGAGATACCAAATTTTATATGGATATATACACAAAGATCTCTTTTGACTGCTTCCTGATCCAGCATCGTCTAAAAGAGCTGGCTCTTCACAGCCTGGGTCCGGCTGAGCCCAGAAAATTCTTTTTTTCTCTGGAGCTGTACAGTTGTGTTACATTGTCTAGGAAGTTATTTAATTGACTACAACTGCACCAACGTTGCTATTCCCTCAGTCGCTCCGTGTAGCGCTCACATCTCATGTTTTGTTTTCTCTACCCTGCTGCCCCCGTGCTTCCCCTTTCCTTCTATTCCCCAAGGCGGTCTCTGAACACCCGTGAAAGGAAGAGTCTTAAACCGCTGAACTATCTATTTTCTCACTTTCCCACTGTTGAGGAGTAACCAAATGCATGTTTTGAAGCTGGTTGGTTGGAGGTGGGGAAAATAGTTGCCTCTGGGCTGAGATAAAACTTAGAGCATTTCAGCCCCTGGGGGGAACTTTTGAAAGCTACAAGCAACTGAAAACAGACTTTACACTGTGAACATTTGTTGTGTACTGAATCGTGGGGACAGGAAAGGCGTTTGGGGAAAGAAGTATTGCAACAAACTCCACATGGCAAGAGTCACAAGATGTGTGACTATAATCACTGTGAATGCTTCAGCACTGGGTGTAATAAGGAGTTAAAATGCTCCCTGCAGTTCCTCCTGCAGCACCTTTCCACTCAAGGACCTTCCCCTGTGTTTGAGCCTAGATGTGGTGTGGAGCTGGGATGACTACTGCTGCTGCCTCTTCCGAAGGCACCCAGCTCTTCTCTGCACGTTAGATGCTGCAGGAAGGGGAAAGTTCTTCGCTTTTGTGCATTCATCAGATACAATTCAGAAACCTAAGTAGTGTCCCAAAGGATGAACCCTTGTTTAATAAAAAAAAAAAAAAGTAAAGAAAAAAAAGTAGTAATACCCTGGGAATGTGAGGTTAAAGATTCACATAGTGTGAGTAAAAATCACAACCATGCAGTGCTTTATTGGTCCAGTTTAAAACCTCATTAAAACCATCATTAAGTTACAATGCAGACCCTTAAGGTCTGTGGCCTATTTTTACTGACTCAATCTGAAGGCAGATTTTAAAAGTGAAATTTTCCCCAGCGTAGATAAAGATCAAAGGCTCTTTCTGAGCTTCAGAGCAGTGCAGTTATGGTTTCTGTAACAAATAGCACATAAGGAATGAAGTGGGTAGCATCTTTTCTTGTCACCTCTTGATTCCCACATCAGGCTTATTTTTAGACCTGGATGAACTGGGCGAACTTTGGCAGCAGCTTGGAGCCTGTTTCAGATTGACAGTGGGAGGTGTCTAATTCAGTCTTTCGGTGAAAGATCTTAAATAAGGTTCAGGTTTGTCTCGTGGCAGGCGGAGGGCCGGGAGCCTGCTCTGGCTGACGGGGGCTGGCCGGTCAGACAACCTTTTTGGGCTGTGTGTTGAAGGCAGACCTCCCAAATTCTCAGAAGTGATGCATGAGACTTGCATGTTGGACCACGTTGAGGGTGTACCCCCAGCTGTATGGATCCTGCAGGGTAGGAGGTCCTGCCGTGAGGAGCGGCTGGCACATGGCTTTCCTGCCTAACCCCAAAAGGCAACGGGGGAAACTAGCTTGGACTCTTTTAGGCCATAAATAATGATGAAAAAGCAGGGGAAACATGTATATCCTGTCCTGAAAAGACTCTTCTCAGCTGAATCCCAGGTTTAAATTGGTTTGCTTGAAAACTTCCAAAAAAGAAAAATATTGTTTAACAAAAGAGCCTATCTGAAAATTGAGGCAGATCTCTCCAGGCTATTAGGATAGGGTTAAATGTTCCCATGTCAAACTTGTAATCAGCTTGTAAGCTTTTGTAAAATAGCTCAGCAAATAAAAGAAGTCCCAAGAGCTCAGAAATCTTGAGTAGCCGGAAGAAAAACTGTAATTTTTAGGTTCTGTGCTTTTGCATATTGTTTTCTTTCTTTCAGTGGGGTACAGGGAGATGGTTTGGAGAAGATGATAGTGGGGGCAAGGTGAGAGAAGTGGTGATGACTCTTAAGCTAGTAGTAGGATTTGAAAGCTCTGAAGTCCAGTCTCTCAGCTTTAATAGTCTCTTCTCAGTAGCAAACAGTGAAAAGCATTCACTGGGAAATCACGGGGGAGGGAGGATCTGTGCCAAAAAAAAGTCTTTATTTGCCCTCAGCTCCTCTGAAGCTTGTACACTGAATTGCCCAGTCCTGCGGGGAGATGGAGTAAAGGAAGGTGGGACAGATTCAGGAACATTTAAGACCTTTCAGCAGATCTTTACAGTTATTCCTCATGTGGCTTATGGAAAATTTATAGTGCCTTTTTCTGAGGCTGTCCCTCTTGCATCATATATAGGATAAAGAAAGAAAATGCTGTGTACGTTCTTGTAGTAGATAACCCAGTAATTGCAGATTTTTTTTCTTTTTTCCCTGGGGTAAAGAATGGATTCTTATGGGTAAATTAGCCAACTACAACCATGTGCAGGTCCAAGAAGACATTTTTAAATATAAAGAAAAAGAAGGGATGTGATATTTTTCTGGTCCTTGCTGCCTAAGGGCTCAAATTAGTGTCGCTTTAATTTATAAATACACAGTTCAATTTGCTTGTTACTCAATATTTTGCAGAACTATTCAGCTGCAGTGTTTTAGAAATATTTGTGTAAGACTAAGTCAAAGTCTTTTCAAAGAAACCTATGAGAGTTGAATACGTTGGATTGCGCTGGGAGGTGGTTGGAAGTCCTCGTTTCCTTTGGCACAGCCAAGTGGTTTTTTTAGTCTGTTTTTTCTTTTTTTAAAATGTGTGTATGTTGGTTGTGGGGTTTTTTTGTTTGTTGTTTG